TTGTAATTTTTAAAAAAAATTTATTTTAAAAAATTTCATGATTAATCTATAATAAACTTTTTAGAATTTACTTTTAATTATATTAATCATAATAAAATATTATAAAATTATTCATAAAGAAAAACTTTATTATTATAATTTTTATAATTTATTAAGAAATTTTATGCCTTTAATTAATGATAAAGTAATTCAATTAGTACGCAAACATATAAATTTTTTTTAAAACTTAATTTTATAATTAAATTATTTAAATCTTTGTTAATAAAGTTAATAAAAAATATATTAAATATAGTAATAATATTACTAAAATTAATATTTAACGTTAATATTTTATAAAGAAATTAACAATTTTTTTTAATTTTACAGGCAAATTTGCCTGCTAGACAATCTAAGGGATAGTAAAAGGTGTGCTTAATTTTGGAAGTATATGGTAATACTAACTAATTAGTAAAACTAATTTTTGAAAAAAGTTCAATTTATGATAAACTTATAACATACTAATAAAATTAAAAAATCTGAAATTGTTTAATAAATATTAATTAATAACAATAATACTAGAAAATTAAGCTAAATATAATAATTCTTAACTTTAACTTTTAAGCAAAAAAAATATCAATTTTTAATTTTTAGATATTTTTAATTGCTTCAATTTTTTTTTATTAATTGCTTTCTTAAATTCTAAAATTATATATTAATTAATAAAAATGAATTATAATAATTTATAATAATTAATTAATCCAAAATGTTTTATTAACTTCAAATTTATTTAACCAAACATTCAACTTGATGTAACCAAAATTGTCAACTAGATTCATAAGTAATCGTTATAAATTGATTATTTCAATTAGTAATCTGTTCAAAAATAAAACATCAAAACGCTTGTTTCGGAAATAAATAAGATAATCGGAGAAGCTTTAATATTCAAGTTTAACACATATCCTTTATAATTATAATTTTGACAATTATTTTATATTATTAAATATTAACCTAAAGATGGTGACGAAAGCAATGAAAAATCATTAAAAAATTACAAATATCAACCAATATGAGAACAAATGAATAAATCATACCTTTTTTGGAGTTGCCAAAGTTTTCCTAATCATCATAATCTTACCTGTTGGAGTTTTCTCATTATTATTAGTATTGGTCAATCTATAGAGCGGAAGTTTCTCAATAAATTCTCCTATCAATCTCTGCAATTGGTATATATGAAATGGAATTGATGATTTCAATTGATATGATAGGCGTATTAAAGAACTTAATAACCTTACCTTTAAGTTTACAATTTCATATAAAACAAATTCTACCAAACCAAGACTAATATTGCTCCTTGGTAATTCATATTCTCCTAACAAAAACATCCTGTATATGCCATCATACGACAGATCCATTGCATAAATTCTAATATTATACCCTGCCAGTATAAATTGATTGTAATTGATTTGCTTTCATAAATCATAAGATTCAACGGAAAATAATTAGGTAGTATAAGTTTACAATAGATACCAAATGAGTGAATTCCAAAGACGACCATTTCCAATTCAACTCCTTTATTATAGATATTATCAAGTGAGTCTTTCATAAGAACTCCCAAATCAACCAAGTCGACATTTATCAATTGTGAATTGGCTTTGATGGGTGATTTGAAAAGACCAAACACGATTTCAAATTTGGTATATCCATTAAGATCGATAGTGAACATGAAATCGGGTCGATGACCTTCACCATCGGAATCTATTTTCCTAGCTGCACTTGCTAATGACATCTTATTAGCCCTGTTGCAAAAAGAAAGTAATATAGATGTTAAATTAAAATATTGGACTTTAATGTCAAATGAAATAAATTGACGATTAAATCCGAAAATCCGAAAATTACCAATTAACTGTTCTTCCTAGCTCATCTGGAAAAAAAGGTCGCAAAATAAAGTGCATCAGATGGTGCACATAAGTATCAATTGTTAATGGATCATCAAAAGATGTACGCCAATTTTCAACACTATAATTTTGATATTTGAATGCAGAATTGGTGTTTAATTCGAGAAATATACAATCAAATAAAAAGCAATACACCTACATATGTCCCCAAACTTTCTGGCATGTCCTGAGCAAATGTTTATCAGTCGAATTTTTCTTCAAATCGTCATAAACATCTTCAATAGAATCTTCTAAATTAATTCGAGAATTTTCTCTTGCAATCTTCGCGCACCGACGACAAAATTCATTAACTACATTTGGTAAATCTTGTTTTGGGTACATATCCTTCATTTGTTTGAAGACCTTTCTCCGAATATCTGAAGGTATATTCAATTGTGCGCGAATAGAATTCTCTTCCAAAAGAAGTATGGAATTCAATGCCCTAAACATTAACAAAAATTTAAATAAGTACTACTTATATCACACGATACGTAACACTTTCATCAAAGATAAAAGCAAAGCTTACAGCATTTCACCCGGATGATTTGAATAAGTAAGTTTATGTTCATTCGCCATAGAAATAGCATGTTCTTTTAAACTGAAAAATGATTCACTTATGTTTATGTCGTCAATGATCCATTCCTGCACATAAAAGTTGTTATTTTTATTAGTTAACATTTAGGTAAGGGTGTTAAGACAGTTAAATTATCAATTTGTAATCGATTATGTAAATCTTTTTCGGATTAATGCTCACTTACAACATTAGGCGATTTCATATCCATTTGACGTCTCTTAATTGATATAAATTCTTCATCTTTTACTAATAAATGTTTCCTTGTTTCTAAGCCATCAAACTTGTCATATATAAAATAGTAATTAAAAATATTTAGCAAAATCTATAAGTGTTAACCTTGGGAAAGTAAATCTGTAAAAATATACTTTATCAGAATCAGACATTTTATTTTTTGGGCCATAATCTTTTAGTTTTGGCGAGATAAATTGTTCTAAAGCAGCATTTGTAATCGCATGTATTGAAACACACTTGATTTTTTCCTAGAATAAAAAAGAAAATTAGTAAATATAAAATCAAGAAAATTATTATAAATATACCATAATACCTTGTCTATATCGTTGATTCTGCTTAAACTAGCTAATTCTTGTGTAAATTTCCAAAGATTAGGCGTCATTTTAAATTTCTTTAATTGAAGTTTTTTTTTACTTTAGAAAGTATTCACAAAAAAGGTAATAAAAATGTCCAAGTGCGTATAATATGGCATGACCCAAAAATAAGATTGATTGCAATCTTTAATCTAAGGATCTCATACCATATACTCCCCGCAGACCCTATTATGATAAAGTCACTCAAGGGTGTAGTTGGGCTCTACCAACATTATGACAAATGCGTGTCATGAACGGAATCCATAACTCTCGACACGACACTCTTCTTTCAACCAGATAACCGCAGAAAATCTGTTTATGAGACCTCAGTCCTGGGCGTAGCAAGTGTCACTTTGTTGGCAGATACGAACAGAATACTGACCTGAATACTTTTACGAATGAAATTTGCAGTTTTATATTTTTTACTATTACTTGGAAGCCTATTTAAAAGTATTTCAAGTTCACTTGTAAGTGCTGAATGAGAACTTTGTGGAGTGCAGTCAGGCACTTTGGTTATATAAAATACGTTCCAGTTTTGTACATCTCCCCAAAAATCAGAATCTCTATTCCAATAACCTAATGAAAATAACGTTTTTGATAAATCATAAACATAAATATCTGTTATAATTATAAAACTAAATATACTTTTACCGGGATATTGAAGGCGGCCAAGAATTTCTTTTGATAAAGACATAATATATTTTTATCTTATGTCACGTAACGTTGGTAAAAAAAAAAAAATTTTTTTAACCTGGTTTCAAGAGATGGTAATTACGCGTCAAACATCGAGGACCGGATCGACCGAAAATTGAGCCCTTAAATGATTGGTGGACTTGTGGTATGCTTGATGGTAAAAGCATGATGACTAGGGTGGCCCATATGATTTTTCGCATTAGCATATCAATTTGTTTGTGTAACAGTAATTGAAAAATTTGCCTTATAGGTTAACCGTTAAACTTTTTAACATATACTGCTTATACAAATTAGGTAATTGATAAGTTTCGTCCTAAAAAGCTACATTTTTTAAGATCTTCTTAAAAGTTGAAAAGAAAGTATGATTTTGACAGTTAAAA